AGAATTAAAAAAAAAAAAATTGTTTTTGACATTATTTGTTTTAGACATTTTTTTTAAATTTCAAATGCTTGTTTTGAATATTGATATAGTTAGTTTGAACATTATTTGCTTTGAATTTTAAAATTTTGAATTTGTATTTTAAAAAAAAACAAAAATGGGGCAGGAAACGAGACAAGTCCTCGCCCCGCCCCGCCCCGCCCCGCCCCGCCCCATCTAAGGCGGGGTGGGGCGCGGGGCGAGGAGGGAGAGTGGTGTGGTGGGGCGGGGCGAGGGTGCTCCGCCCCGAACCCGCCCCATTGCCATCACTAGTGTCACGTTTCACTAACTGAACTTTAAGTTCCATCCTATCACTCATTGAACTAGTAAAGTTGAACTCCATTCATTACTGGGCTAATTCCGTCAACACCATTGCCTACGTGAATGACGGTTTGCACACGTAGCCGTTAAATTACTCCAGTTGGCCATTAATCAGCCACATCATAAATTCCCAACGCCCAAACAACTTGAAGAGAAATGGGACAAATGGTTAAATCAATTTGAGCCAAAATCTGCGGTGTACTGTGCATTTAGGAGCCAATTTATTCTCCAAAAGAACCCATTTCAAGAATTTGTACTGGGTTTTGACGTGACAGGGCTACCATTTTTCATTGTCCTCTTAAAGCCAGCAGGTGCAAATTCCATAGAAGAAGCACTGCCGAGGGTTTTGAAGAGAGGCTTAAAGGAAGAGGGGTTGTTTATGGTGGCTGGGTACAACATACTCAGTTTCTCGGCCACCCTTCTGTTGGGTGTTTGGTGAGTCATTGTGGTTTTGGATCCATGTGGGAGTCTTTGTTAAGTAACAACCAAATCGTGCTTGTGCCACGACTTGCCGACCAAATCTTGAACACACGACTGTTGACGTAAGAGCTCAAGGTGGCGATGGAGGTGGGGCCTACGGCGACGATGGAAGGTTTAATTCCGAGTCAGTACAGAAGTCCAAGTTTCCAATCTTCAATTGTTGCGATTTTTTGTTCTCTCAAGGGTTCCAATCGTGGTTTCAGAGATTAAATTTGGTGAGACGTGTTTGGGTGTTGAGAATTGATGACATAGCTGATTAATGGCCAGCTGGAGTAATTTAACGGCCACGTGTGCAAATCGTCATCCACGTAGGCAACCGGTGTTGACGGAATTAGCCCGGTGATGAATGGGATGCAACTTAAAGTGAAACGTGACACTTTGTAATGTTTAGTGACCGTTGAAACAATTAACTCCCCTTATTTGAGTCTCATTTAGGGTTTGTAATGCGTTTATGAATAATTTTTAAAAAAAAATATATGTAGTAAAAAAATAAAGGGAAACTTTTCATTTACGTGTAAAATTATTTTATGAGAGAATGTTTGGTTAAAAATGAATTTTTTTTGGTAAAATTGGAAGGCCTAACATATGCTAATTAATTTTTTATTTAAAAGTAAAAAAGTTCATATTTAAAGGGAAAATAGAAAGTTGCTTAAAGAGTACACATAAGGGTTTAGCCGTTTAAGCATTCGTCGCACTCGAAAGGTCGCCGGAGGAAGAAATTTTTTTTGATTCTCTGTTCAACTCACCCGGTTCGGGTAATTTAATTTCTTCACACATTGTTCTTTAGTTTAGCAATTCTTGAAATGCTTAAAGAAATTTGATGCTAATTTACACCTAGTATCAAGAATTGGAACCCTCGAATTTTTCAGCATCTAGTTATTAGCACGGAGTCCCGAATTCTCGTCGTGATTTTTAGTATCTTAAAAAGTTAGCAATTTCTGGGTTGGGTTATTCCTGATACGTGCTAGGGAAATGGAATTCCTGGATCTTTATAATACCCGAAAATTTTATAATTTTCTGGTTTTAATTGATTGTTCCTTAGGATAAATAGTGGATTGAGTATGGGAAATGATTCAGTAGATGATAATGAGTATAATTTAGTGATGGCTTTAGATATTGGCTATGTCAAATTTGTTTGTATGTGGATTGTTTTCCCAACTTAAATGAGATTTTATGTTATGGATTATTCGTTTGTTTAACTTTTCTGTGCCAATAGACACATAGTTTGCCAGCACATTTCTTTGCAGTGTGAAGACAATTGGTAGAGGTTTTCATTTTCCTCATTTTAATTGGGCGGTGCAATTTGCTTTAGAATAAATGAATTTGCAGGTTTTTCTGTTGATGTTTTCCCTGGTTTGGAGGGTTTGTATGCTGCCTCTCTAATACCAAAATGATTTCTCTGTTGACAAGTGAATGTAATGAAAACTTATTGAGGACCTTTGTTATGTAACTTTGGATACTAATACTTTCTAGGTTCACATTTGCGGGCTGTCCTTTACTTTCCTTTATGCATTTATAGCTGCCAGTTCAATGTGGTAGGATGTACCGGATTGCATACCAGTTGTTAAATATTTTGAGTTAGCGTAATTTCCAGGTTTCAATGTCGTCATGTCTTGAGTACTTTCTGAAAAAAAAAAACTGAAAATTAATGTTATTATGCAATGTGTATCAGTTGTTAGTTGAAACCGAACTTCAATTGTTGTGTAGAAGTAACTTTATGATACCTATATGTTGCCGATGGAATCTGCACTTGCTTTTTATTGCCCTTTTTATAGTTAGAATTGACTATATAAATTCAAGTCCTGAATTTGATGCAGTCAATGCTTTCTGTAATAAGGGCCGTTCTTAACATATCAATGGTTGGTAAAAACGGCAGAGTATATCATTTTTCTTTATTTAAGGTCATGTTTTATACATCTGAAACTCAAAAATATTCATACTTCCTGATTAGGCAGAAAGAGGAAAGCCTTAACATTTGCTGTCTGAGGTTAAAACTCGAAGCTTGATTATTGAAGGGCAAGGGAGAAAATAAATAGAACAAAACTTCTGGAAAAAAAATGCAAATTCGGCTCAGCAAACCAGCTAGTGAAGGTGTTGGAGGTACAAAGTCCTTGCCTGAAGAAACTGTGACTGTTGCATGTCCCGATCACCTTGTCTTAGCTGATCTTCCTGTAGCTAAGAGCCTTGGTTCGGCAAGCGAGACTGCTTTTCTCAAGAATGTTGGTCGCAGATCCCGTCGTCAGCTTGGTGACCGGGTTCATTTTTGTGTCCGTTGCGACTTTCCTATAGCTATTTATGGGCGTCTGGTATGCATGACTTTCTTGTGCACATTGTATTTCCTCTGTATTGTAGTCCATTTAGTAAGTTCCAACTGACAGGAGGTTATTAATGTAAAAAGTTTGTGCTTAAAGAAGATGGTTGAATTTCTGTTTCCACCGCTGCCAGCAAATGCACTGCACCTCTATGTACATGTGGGAACTCACATTTATGCTTGCATGCACGCAGCTAATATATGAATTGAATGAAGAAAGCAGCGAGAATATGTATATTTCTTTCTGTCTCACATCTCTTCGATCACTTTTTAACACCTGTTCATTTGCATGTGTTGTATAAATAAATTGATAAATCCATAATACACTTTCAACCATGGTTTGGTTTCCTAGTTTTATTTCAGTGCCTTTTATGCATCAATAATTGGAACTTGTTAACTGCTGAAGGTTCCTCAGATTTGTTTCCAGACATTTTTTGCTTTGTTCTATTAGGGGAATCATTTTCTTCGCCCAATATGAATTATTCCCTCATGTGGGATTCTGTTATTGGATTTTCTTATATATATATATATACAGAAATCTTTTAATTTGTGTTGACAAGCTCATGTTATTGCAGAGCCCTTGCGAACATGCTTTCTGTTTGGACTGTGCTAGGAGTGATTCTATCTGCTACCTGTAAGGCATATCCCATTTTTCCTTGTCCACCTTGGAGTTAATGGCATTCTTTATTTGGAATTTGATTTGCTAATTGGAGCTTAACCCCCATGCCTCCTAATCATTGGTGGAAGAAATATCTAATGGAACATTAGGTTACAATGAAAACAGCAAACCTGGAAATATATAGTGGAGAGCAAGATTTTTGTGTCTCTTAACCTAAATTCTACGAGTATTACCCTGAATGCTATATATTAATATATGTATGCATTTATCAAAAAAAAAAAAAATGAACTGTCATTATTGCTTGTCACCTTCCAGAGCTCCTGATAATTCCACAATCAACAAAAGGAGAGGAAAAAAACCAAAGTAGGGGCAATTTTTGTATATATGTGGAGCTCTTGAAATTTATTGTTCATATCAATATTTTTGTTTTTAGTTGTTTGTTGTAGATTGAAAAAATAAAGTGAATGATGAAGTTAATGAATCTTTCTTGCCATTTTCTTCTGGGTATGAAGCTGTGATGAACGCATTCAAAAGATTCAGACAATCAAAATGATGGAAGGAATTTTTATTTGTGCTGCCCCTCACTGTCTGAAGACCTTCCTAAATAAGACTGAATTTAAATCGCATATTAACGAGAATCATGCCGACCTTCATACAATAAGGGAAATAGAAGGAAATGAGTCGGAGGCTACCAGTGCCAGAAAAACTTCAGCTTCAGATTCAACAGTTCAAGCACCATTAAGGTCAGGTTTTCCCTCTAGTTCGAGTTTCCAGGTTCATGAACAACCATCTCCAAGGCCTGTCATGCCAGTGCCAACTTTCCCTGGACAGATCCTAAATCATCCATCAGAACTACAACATGACAATAACCAAGCCCAAATCTTTGAGAGACCTGGCCCACTGAACCAGTTTCCTCCGCAAGCTTTTGACTCATTGGGTGGCCTGCAGCCAAACCCAGGTCAGTTTTTTCCACACAAGGAATTATATTTGAATATCCTTTTCCTTTGAATACCCCATCAACCTTCTGATTTTGCAGTGCCAATCAATCCTATTCCGGCTCCCCCTCAATTTGGTTATGCTCCTTATGCGCCTACTGGAACGCAACAATTCTATGGAGGTCCCTACGATATGCCAAGGCCAGATTCAACACCAGAGGTTGGGTCAGAACAGGGTCCATTGATAGGTTTCCCGCAGGGTCCTGCTGGAGCAATGAATTTCGCAGAAAATTATCGGCCCTGGAATTTGGGGCCCGCTGGGCCTTTTGAACCTCCTCTGGTAGGTCAAGGTGAATACGGACGGAGCATGGGGGTTTTACCTCCAAATCTGCCTCCTGCCAATAAAGGGATGGAACATGGGCAGGGTGGAAATTTTGTGGCCCCACAATCCATGTCCCTTCCACCACCACCGCCACCTATACCTCCAACCCACTTATCACAGCTTCAACGAGGCAGGTCGTACTATGGTGAGGCTAGCCATGATGGTTCACCGGGCTTTGGGTGGCAGCATGAGAAACGTGATAGCTTTGGAAGTGGCCAGGATTAGTGAATCTACTTTTGTTCTTCCCCTAGCAGCATGCTGATATTCCCGTGGCTTGTTAGTGGAATGTTGTTAAAAATTTTATGTTCGACGATTATCACATCTGCATGTTTTTCTTGATGTTGTTTGTAGATGTTAAAAGAATTGTGTTTTAGACAAGGTTTGATTTCTTGATATGGATACATTAAAAAATTGTCATGGCAGGGGGCTATTTCGTTGAATTTGCGATTGGAAAATGGTGTATTACCCCCTAATTAAAATCTCGACTCAGACAAACAACACATTTTCCCAATTATCTATGGTCATTGCTTGTTGATGATCTTCAAGTGTACTTTTTCTTATTTTGAATAAAACCTGGATGTACAGAAAGACTGAACTTGAAATACAAACTTCTTTCTCACCTCTAGCACTGCCCAGTGCCTAATCAAAACAATAAATTCAAGGGAGAAAAAGAATGAATCCAATAAAAATGTACGACCAAACAAAACGAAAGGAAAGGGTAAATTGACGCAAACAAATTATCAACTTAATTTCTTCTTTTCCAAGATCCATTTTTGAACCTTGCTGATACATTGTGCATCAAATCTCACGTATAACAGCTGCAAGTTCCTGTACCCTATTAGAGCATATCTATCAATATGGTCTTCACATCTTTCATAGAGTGCTGGAACTGTAAGAACAATAACAAGGCCTGCCAATGACAGAGATAAGCAAGATGAGGAAAGCCAGAGTTGGGTGAGGCTGATCAGAAGGAGACACCTTCATTATAGTAGGTGGGAATTACAAGAAAATGAACTTACCTGTGTAGACGAATGTGAGGAAATCAGTGACGCTCCCAATGACTGAGATCAGCAACAGACAAAGAGCTACTTTAATGAACATTCTTGAGTCCCTACCAAGCGTGATATCTTCAGACACATGAAGCAGAACATTTATATGATTGCGGATGAAAGTAGCTGCTTCTTTCATGATTTCTTCTGAGAGATACAAATGTGGTAGTGGTGGAGCAGGTCTGTTTCAGATCGTTTGCAGGATTATTAAACAAATAGAACAACAATTTAAATGCTGATACTTGTCTTCATAGCCAATTTCATTCGAATAGAAATTTTATGGATTTAACTTAATGTCATGGTCGGTTTTTAGATGAAACGAATACGTGAACAACAATCAGGATTAACAAACAATATCAGGCTTCAAAGTTGAGCATGTATTTGAACTAATGTTTTGAAAAAATAAATTATTGTGCCTATGATGCAATAACAGCATGTTTGGTACACCCATATTAGAACTTACTAAACAGTACGATGAACAGCTGTTTCTGTTCTTCTTTTAAACTGTCCAATATTGTCTGCATCAGAGAACATGTAGGCTTGTTCGGAAAGTTGGACTGAACAGGCCTAGATAGTACCAACAAAGAAAGGATGTGACCGAAAATTTTCATTGTCGTATCTGGTTCAGCTTATCTAATCCAAACTACTAAACAAGTCGTGACCATTTATTCTTTTATAGTTTTCAATGAACAACAAAATTATCTGTTTGAATGTGAATTTGATACCCACATTGCATCTTTCCATGTAATTCATGCATTTGCCCAAGAAAGATGAAAATGAAGCCAAACAAAATCTTAGAGTTAGATCAAATGAAACATCAGTTCCAAGGTAGCTTAGGGCTGTCATTTTCTTGTTTCAAAGAAAGTACTGCGTAGTTCGTTTAGATTGCCATTAGGGGTGACACTAAATCAAGTCTACACCCATCCATTCTACTTTTTAAGTAGGCAACACATTAAACCAATTCATCATCACAAATTTGCTCACATACTATATATTCTAAATCCTTGAAAAAACAGTATTGAATAGCAGATTTGTTGAAAAGGTGCCATCACCTGTTTAAAATAGCTGCTGATTTTGCCCAGAGAAAAAGAATGGTAAACAGGAGTAAGAAAACACTAGAGGTCAATGATAATAGAGTATAACCAGATCTCTCAAAAACCACCCAAGCAGCCAAAGTTATCACTAATATTCCCACTGTTAAATTCTTTTGCCTCCATAGCATCACATCTGCAACTGCTTCAACACAACACAAATATATTCAATTTCATAGATATTAAATCCCACAATATGTAACCAACAAAATTTTGCCAATCAATCGAAGATAATAATCAGAACTTTGAATTGCAAATATTGAAAATCAATTATCAGAAAGTGTTTGCGAAAAAGCATCAGATAAGTGCAGACTTACCAATGCCTCCTCCAAGGATCCGATGAATAGTTCTCTGCCTATTAAACAACCGATCTGATGAGCCCATTTTCAAGAATTCAATTACAAAAAATAACCCACTATTGATTTGATTACATTTACTTCAATTACAACAAAGAATGATCCAGGGTTGGAAAAATATTATCTTTCCAAGCTTTACAGGGAAGTAATTATTTAGTTATCTGTTCGTGTGGGTTATTTACAGTGAAGTGGATGTATGTTGACAAGTTTAATTAGTGGTTCTCAAGTTCCAGCCTAAAAGCATGATTACATTTTTCTAGCTGTTTTTTTTCTTTTTCAAATCCATGGAACAAATAAGTTGATAATAAGAAAGTTGCAAGTGGGTCCCACCCGGTGTGGGGTATGGTCCGTATGGCGTTGGGGGTGGGGGTGTTTGAAGCTTGGAAATACGGGCATTACATTCCTTTCACACAAGACAAATTGTCTCATTTCTTTCTTCAACATCAATTCCTACTTCAAAGGTATGGAATTTGAGTTTTCCGAGTAATTGTTTTTACTTGGACGATTATATATGAGTAGTTTATCTTAAAAAAAACCTTTACGTATGTTGACTTATTTTAAATATTTGTTTTAGTCAACAATAGAAGCAATACAATAGCCATATTAATTTCGTTTGTGTGCATGATCGGTAAAAATAATTATACCTCTTTTGAGTAAATAGAGTAGAACCAGTTCAACAACAGTAGGAACCCATTTAGTGTGAAAGTTCTGTTTTAAGGTGTATAGTAATGTTGGCATCTTTTCTTTTAAGGTAAAGGAGGATAAGTAGATTCAAATTAAAAATATGTTACGTATTTGTCATTTATCTTTAAAATAAATCACCCAAACATACTCGTGATACAAAGAAAGGGGATCGAGGTAAGTTTAACCATTAAAGTAAAAGTTTATCACATACCCCTCCCAAAACAAGTATTCCTTAGTGTAATTACAAAGTTTCGTTTTACCCCAATACTCTGGTATGAAATAAAGAATTTATAATTTGCTCCAGGTGCAATTTCTGTTAAAAGAATGTTTCATTATTTGATTCTCTCAACAACACGTGCTTAAACCACGTTACAATTTGTATGTACATTTTTACGTCCACTAAACCTTGTATTGTCAATCTTGTTTTGTACCTTCAGCTAATTCATGCTCATGATATTTTTATTAAGAATGTAGACGACAGGAGATGGAGGGAAAAAAAAACATTGATCTTGTGAAAATTCAGACATCTCTCCCGTAATATAATTAACCCACTTTGGGTCCATCCAACATTAAAGGATAATGCTATCGAGCCATAGGGGGTGCTAATTACGAGTCTGATTGGACCCAATGCTACATAGTCGAGTTCTTAGCACCATTGGGGTCAAATAACATCATGAAATGCATCTAATAAAACAAATTGTTCGATCAAATATCAGATGTAACAGATCCATCCCATATGGTCCACGGCTCATTCCGCTCTATTGGCCTTAATTCTTTTTTTGAACACATCAAAAGCTCCATACAATTTTAAAAAAAGAGAGAGAGAACTTAAACTAGTTAACAACATTCAAAGTTAGACAAGCAGATCATAATGGTTCGTACCGCTGTACAGTAGTCTCACAACGTTCCGCGGCTTTACTTTCTTGGTACCTTTACGAAACTCAGCTCCATATTCAGCAATAGGAATAAAACCAGACCCCCATCCGCCATGCTGCAATTTCAGAAAAGAGCAGATTTTTGAGAAACACTGGCCATATTATATTCAACTAATAAACAGCAAAAGAGTCGAGTAGTCACTTTTTATGACTTAGTTCTTCACATATTTCGGGTTTTGACATAGCGAACATGAAGAGTTTCACTGAATATCAGTGATGTGTAGAAACGCTTCCTATCTGCTCTCGTCAGACTTTGTTATGCATGCATGAAGTTTATACTCAAGACTCTACTTGATATTTCCTACTACACCAGAATATAAGAAGCCTCTTAAGTTGGAATGCAGTGGTGGACAGAGCGTATTATTAAGCAATAGCAACTTAAAAAGGATACTGACTCAAAGCGATAAATCTAAGAGCATAGTCTATGCAGGAAAAATACCTCGTGTTCCGGTATGTAAACAATTATTGGCTGGAAGCACAACTTCGATAGCACCTAATATTGAAGTTGTTATTCATCAATCAGCAATTGGAGTTAAAACAAGTGACAATGAACATTGCTATTACGTAGTTAATACACAAAATTTAACAATATAATGAGGCAACGTTCGATGCCCTTGCAATGGAACAAAAAGGTGGAAACTTAATTCTCACTTCATTTCCCCCTCATGAAGTTTAAAAATGATGAAGAGAAGCTGGCAACTAGATATACGAGGGAATGGAAGTATCAGCAATAATGAAGATGTCGAGGGAATTCTGATTATGGCAAGGCTTTTGTGCTACAGGAGTTAAAAGTGTAATATGGGGAAAGGCAGCTTCAAAGTAGAAAGAAGTATACATTTTTATTAGATAATACAAGTGCAACTAAAGGTCAAGGCATATTAACGTTTCCTGTTTAAGCTTCTTCGACAAATTGTCATTACATGTTTCAGAGTCTGACTGATATTTTTTGAATCAGATTCTTTCAACTGATGTGAATCGCTGATTTTCAGAATGGTTCCACTTCAATTACCATGTGTCATCTTGTAATATGCATCTCCCTCAGCGAAGTTTGAGTTGAGATAGAAGAAACTATTTTGAGTGTTGAGAAATTTAAATTGGTATCAGAGCGAGTCAATGGCCGACGACAACCCTACGATCCAAGAACCACAAATTTTCAGCTCAGAAGTTAGATCTGAATGCCCTCTTCCAACTATGACGCTGCTGGCAAAGGAGGTCTGATTTCACCATTCAGTGGAACCTTGACAAGTCTCCGGAGTCGAGCTTGATTCAGACATTTTATGCAGTGGCAAAACATAATCCTGAGAATAATCAGAGGATACAAGCTCAACAGTTATATATTGGGAACAAAGCCATGTCCACCGCAGTACATTTCAGCCCAAATAACCACTGAAGGACTAGCGGTAAAGACTGTGATTAATCCAGAAATCACTGGGTATCAACAGCTCAGCTTCTTCTAGCGTGGTTATTCAGTGCAATCACACCTAAAGTTGCGTCTACTTTTATGGGGTGCTCAACCTCCAACTGTGGGATGCTGTAAATAGAGTTGGGATTCAAAATAGATCTAGAGCGGTTTTCGCCACAGGAGAATCACAAAAGACTAGAAAGGGCATTACGGAAATTGATGAATACTCAATAAGCTCAAAAGCATTGCAGACAACTTGGCTCTAGCTGGAAAGCCAGTTAATCATTCAGATTTGATAGCTTGAGTCTTGGGTGGACTCGACGAAGAGTACAGTGGTTCAAATCTCAGGAAGGGATTCAATCACTTGAAGTGAGCTTCAATCCTCCCACATGACATTTGAAAGCAGAATGGAGCAGCTGAATGCTGCAAGAAACAGCTTGGGAAGCATTAACCTCACCCATCCTACAGCCAATCTAGCTAACAAGTCAGGTAGATAGTATGGAAACAAGAATTACTCTTAGCAGCGGGAAAGATACTACAAACAAAACACTGGTAGACTAGGAAGAACAAACTTCAGATGTGGAAACTCAAGGAACCATAGAAACTACACTTGCGGTTCCAATTGTCTTGCCAATTTTGTGGCAAGTTAGGACACGCAGCAAGTATTTGCCATGATAGATATAATGATACATATACTGGGATTAACACAGATAACAACAGAAGTGGATATTTCCAGTCCAGAAACTACAGCTTTGAATCAAGCTCCTAACCACTGTTCTCATGGCCACTCCAGACACATTAAGTGATCCAGCTTGGTTTACTGATAGCAGACCTAGTAACCACGTGAAAAATGATGTTACTAATCTCAACCCGTCACGGATGAACAGGGTAATGAAAAATTAGAAGTTGGCAATGGGGACGAGCTAGTTATCTCTCACATTGGTAAATCGTTGATTCCCTATTTGAAATACAAATATTTGTGCACAAAAATGTACCTCATGTACCCGAAATCTCTAAGAACTTACTCAGCATCTGACAACTTACTTCAGACAATTCTTTTTTTTGAAGGACAATGCTATAGGAGTGGTGTTGCAGCAGGAAGGCATAGGAAAGGACGTTATCAACTGGAGTCACCCTCTTCCCAAAAAGCTTCATAGCCTTTAAAAAGTTTTAGTACATTGCAGAGTCATAATTTTTTTTTCCCCCTAGTTCTTGCAGTGTCATGTCTCGGTTTCCATTCCCTTAAGTCAAACATGGCATATAAAGCTTGGCCATCCTTCTATGCTAGTTCTGAAGCAAGTTATGCAGTCATGTACTCAAAGGCTAAAGTTCAATGAAAACTATGATATTGTGAACTTGACAATTTGGCGGGTCAAATGCTTTGACTATCAGCTGAAAGAATCTGATTCAGAAAATAGCAGTCGGGACATTGAACCTTTGTAAAGCCAATTTTTTGAATAAGCATAACCATGGGCAGCAAAAATGTTAATGTGCCTGGACCTTAAGTCGCACTCTTGCTACTAAAATGTATTCTTCTCTCTCCTTTGAAGTTGCTTTTTCTCATATTATTCTTTTATCTCCTGTAAGACAAAAGCCTTGCCATCATCAGCTTTCCCTGAAAATCTGTTGCTCTTCATTATTGCTGGGATTATATTCTCTTAACGACAAGAAATGAAAAACAAGCAGCATCCCCAATCCACAGAAGGTTAAGCAAGTGTAGAAAATTATAAATTGTATATGATGTCTTGTCTAACTAATACAAAGTAAAAGACCTATTTATAGGTTAAATCTAGCTCTGAAAAGAAAAATTTGTGTCTTAATCACACAATCATAATTAAGGAAAATAATCCCACCCTATCGGGAAATATCATGAAGAATAATTTTTATATAACTTCAACAGAAAGAAGGTAAAGGATCAAAAGGTCTGCTACATTTTGTACGCATCCCAAGGAAAGCATTACAATTCATACTAACCAGTAGCTCCGACTCTCCACCCCAGAAATCAGGCCGTCCAATACGTTGGCAGTAACTATAGAGGCACTTCAAAAAATGAGTGGACTTCAACCATTATAATACTTGAACAGCTAAAACCAAAAATAGATGCTTCATAAGCATTGTCAAATTCAAGGCCGAACCGTTTCAAAGATTCCTCGACAGTTATTGCAATCAATGCCTCTTCATACTTAAGACGCTCTTTATCATTATCACAAATAACCTCTTTCACGGCCATCCGTAATTCATCTGTTTCATAAATTTATAGTAAGTTCCACTGAAAATCACGGATATTTTCCAAAGAGCTAGATAACTGAAAGAAATACAAGATCGAAAATATTAAGTCCTTTGTTATCTTCACATAAATTGCGAAATTGTATTCATGAAATAAAGAAAATCGCATATGTGGGGTGAAAATCTAAAAGGAATATATTTCTTCAGATCTATCTCAACTACCAATGCAACAGACAAGGAGGATACAAAAATGTTTCTCGAGAAAAAGATGCAGAACAAAAATATTACGTCTCTGTATACATTTGGAGGGATGAAAAGTTGCCAGCTTAATCATTGTTAAACATAGTTTAGTACTGAGGTGAAAAGTCGGAAAAGATTTAGAGGTGAAAACACTTGGGATCACACTAGTCGTACCTGCATTATCTCTCTCTTCACGTGGACTGACCATTACACCTTTGTTGTGAGCCATTCCTTTAACCTGATGCATCATGACGGAATTTTAAATCTTAAAAAACAAAAAATATAATTTTGTATATAATAATGCATAGATTAAAACGGCAAGCATTTTCAGCAAGGGGTAGTTAACTATGCTCAAAGGACTACAATATGAATTCAGAATCAATCACTGTAATAGCAATCAAAATTTGACCAGTATATTTCCGAAGAATAATGCACCACGAATACTTCTTTATGTTTTAATTGCGCAACCCAAATAAATTATACAAATTGATGTTTCAATTCGGAATAAAACTCTTACAAGAGACAGATATGACTTACCAGAGCACGAAACAGGCAGCGTCCATCGCCAGTAATTTTCTGAACTGAATAACGCTCCAATTTCTTCATTGCAGGCGAACCTTGACCTCTTTGAGCAAAATAAACATTTGAATCATAAATTTACACCAATTGGGAATGTAACTAAAAGAACAGATTATAGAGATATGTAAACAATAAAAAATATGAAAAAGAAGTTACAGTGAAGGTCCAATTCTGGCAAAGAATTTATGGGTGATGCTAGTGAGAAACACGGCGGGAGGTGCATTCTGAGAGCAGTGACGATAAACTGATGAAACCGGTGAAGATGCTATTTGGAAGTCGGCGATTCCATGCTTCAGTTGCTCGAGTATTGCTTCTGTTTCCAATTAAAAGTGTAAAAAATTATGAGACCAGAACGACGCACGAGAATTTGATTTACGAGATGTTTAAGTTCACCGTTTGAGGGATTGTGCGCCATCAAATTGTTTATCCGCCGTAGCTCGTATGAGAACTAGCCGTCGACCTGTGAGAGTTCAAATCCAGTAAGCTAAAACTAAACGCAACCAAGAGCCAAGAAAGAGATTGTAGTAGTAACGGGTCGGGTCGGCCCAATATGTCAGAAATGGGTTGGATTGGCCAACTTGGCGAACACAATTAAGTCCAGATTGCCCTTTCCTACAGGCCTGCTACTAGGGGTGACAATTCAAGCAGCCCGACGGTTAGGCCTGAATTCAAATTTTGATTTTAATTTTTTCTTGAAAAAAATTCATAAATAAGGTGTTTAGTTTACACCAATTCAAAAATCATGTTTATAGTTTGAAAATTTAAAAATCAGATTTTTTTTTATTAATTCTAATATAATATAATAAACTCACCCAACATGCATCACCCCTCCCGCTCCGAGGACTATTCCGACGACCATTCCGACGATCACTCCTCTCCGACGATCATTCCGACAACTGCTTCGATTCCGATGACTATTCCGACAATCATTCAGGTCACAATTCATAATTGAATTAGTCAAATATTATTTTTCAGTCACAAATACTAATTTTTATACGTCACAGATTTACAATTTAATGTCATAGCTCAAAAATTTTGTAGGTCACAATTAAATCGTTGGTCACAAATTTCAAAATTAGTTTTTCACAGATCAAAATTTTTATGTCATACAGTCACAGATTTCCAAATTAATTATAGGTCACATGTCACATATTTTAAAATTAATTGATCACAGATAAAAATTTTGTACGTTACATGTTATTTCAAGGTCACAAATTTTTAAATTAATTGGTCACAAATTATTTTTGAATCACATATTATTAAATTTTTAGGTCACGGTTGAATAAATTTTCACATACTACCAAACATTTGGTCACAGGCTATCGCTACTACCACTATGGCCACCACAAATACTTGGCCATAGGTCAACCAAATAATTGGACACAAACGCTATCCCACCACCGTCCTTACCACCCACAATCACCGCACCACCATCACCACACCACCAACAACTACCTCCACCACCAACAGAAACGCACAACCAACGCCATCATCCAACAACTACTGAATAACCACAAACACCACTACCACAAACTGCTAGATCCATCACCCACCGATTCGCCACCACTTTTCACCACCAAACAAACTGCCTCCACCACCAAACAAACAAACTGCTAGATCCACCGAACAAATTGTTAGATTCACCCACCGATAACAACCATCGATCCACCCATCGATAACAACCACCTATAACAAACTGTTAGATATACCCACCGATTCACCACCACTTTTCATCTCAAACAAACTGCCTCCACCACCACCGATCACCACCACTTTTCAACTATAAACACCACTTCCATCGCCAAAATTCAATAAACCCATCCCAACCGCTAGGTCCACCACCCACCACCACAAAATCGCCACCACACAAAACACTACCACCACCACCCACCACCACTACTACACAATACTCACTACAACCACTGTCGGCGAAGCTTCGTGGTGAATAGACGTCGCAATTGCAGCATCGCGAAGGACATCGATATATCAAACAGCAGCAGCAGCCTTCGCGACAGACATCGACGGTTGCAACGTCGTTAACAGCAGCGGTGGCCTTTGATGCCGCAGCGTAGCCGGCCGATGCAACTCCTTCGTCAGTCGTCGGCGTTCGAAGGGGAAGAAGAAGAGAGAGAAGGGAGAGATGTAGAGAGAATAATGGTGAAAATAGGGTAAAAAAGAGAGAGAAGGGAGAGAAAATGAGAGAGAGATTGAAGAGTGATGAATAATTAGGGTTTGGGTGGATGAAGTTAATTTAATTTTAATTTTAAGATTTTAAAAAGTTTAAATTGATACCTAATTTTTGAAGAATAATTTATCCAATCTGATTTTTGAAATGTGATTTTAAAATACCTGGATTTGTGTAATTTCCTCTTTTTTCTTTTGTTCACAATTTCGTCGATATAATATTATACATATAGAGAGACATCTAAAACAATTTCTTTATAATAAAATATATGCCACTGTTTGACTCACATTATTTTTTTATTCTCATTCTTCTACTTATTTTCAACCACACAATCTTCAATAAAACAATATTTTAAACCACATCAATAACTTTTCCTTATTTTCAACCACATATTCCCCATCACATCACTTCAAAAAAATGTATTCTCTCATTTGAATGTACACCAAACATGCTCTATATTTGATGGGGATTAAAATCAAATTCTTAGAAAATTTTGATAAAATTGATGAAGTGTGTGGTTTAAAGTTATGGATCTCATAAAGCCCCTGTTTGAGCTCCATTTTTTTGGGAGAGATGTATTTTGGAATAGTAATTTTTTTGGAAAATGTTGGTTAATAAATAGGAAAAATTTTGTGTTTGTGAATAAAATTACTTTATGGGATAATGTGTGGTTAGAATTGACTTTTGAAAAAATGGGGCGAAATATGTGGTTAAAATTAACTGTTAATTTTAACTTAGATTAAGCGTCTGTTTGAGCCCATATTTTGCCAAAAATGCATTTTAAAATAGTATTTTATTGAAGAATGTGTGATGAAAATATAAAGAAAAATCTTGGATTTGCGAGTAACATTATTTTATCAAAAAATGTGTTGTTGAAAATAAAAGAAAGAAAAATGTATTTTAGAAATAATGGATACTAAAAGGGGGGCTAATTTTTTTATTTTAATCGATGTCAAACATGGCTATATGATTTTTACCTAAAAATAAAATAAAAAAAGATAAGAATTCTTAATCTGCAACATTACTTTTTAATGGGAGCCGCTATCCATCCACCATTTTTTTTTTTGCATGGAAAAACTCGTGTCCTTGGTGTAGGCAATTTTTCTGGAAGTTATATATATTTGAGAGGACTAATAGTAGAAAACTCCGCTAAAAAACGTTTTCGTTTGCGATATATCATATACCTATTGAAAATCGCAAAAACCTCTATTTAAAACACTTTGTGCGAAAAAACTCATACCTTCAAATTTGCCATTAAAAATAGTAAAAATGTCAAAATTAAAAAGTAATAATTGCAACTTTAGTATCCAAACTTTTTATTCTTTTACAAATTATACCCAATTTTTTTATGTATCACCCACAATCATAAATCTTTAAAACTTTATTTTCTACCCCACCTCACTTCATCTTCTTTTTCAAAACTTTATTATTTTATTCAATCCATCCTAAATCCTCCTAAATTCCTCACCCCAAATTCACAATTTTTTCTTCTCATTCCAAATAGGGATCTTTGGGGTGAGGGTATTTATGAGCAAATAAAAGAGTTTTTGACTACCAGTTTGAAATTTCTTACAGAAATATTATTTAGCCCGAGCGTTTTTATTTTTTCTACTTGTATGTACCCTTGACATAGAAAAAGTTAAATGTATATCTCCTTCTTTATTTCTTTTCAGTTCATTCTATAGGAGTTTAATTAGTTGGTGTTTAGTGAGAATTGAAATTAGATTTTTATTAGATTGTGATAAAAAATTTTGAAATGTGTGGTTGAAAGTTGTGAGGCTCATGAAAGATGTGATTAATATTGATTATTTGATTTTGATTTATATTAAAATCTGATTTTGATCTGAAACAAAAAAATACCTTAAAATTTAATCTAGAAATCAATTGGCGACCGTCAGCATTCCCTCTATCTCACCACTTTCAAGTGTGCGTTCATCCACTATGTATGTGTTCTAAATTTATTTTAATTTCAATATAAAATAGTTAAACTGCACTTATTTAAATGCATATGAATTTTGTCTCTATTAAATTATGTATATGCATGTGTTGATTATGATTTTTCATCGTTCATGGGAAGAGGAAATGATGAATTTGAGGTGATGAATTTTGGAAGATTTTGGAATGGATTATATAAAATAATAAAGTTTTGGAGAAGGAGATGAAGTGGACTGTGATAAAAAATGAAGTTTTAAAGGTTTGGAATTATGTGTGGTACACAAAAAGAATTTGTGTATAATTTGTAAAATAATAAAAAGTTTAGATATTAAAATTGAAATTATTACTTTTTAATTTTGACATTTTTATTGAAAAATTTGACGATAGAGGGATTTTTCGTGCAAAAAATTTTAAATAATGAATTTTATGCTCTTAATTCTTTGAAAATTTACTTGAGCGGGTGATTAAAAATGGCTTAGGGGGTGCATGAATGTGGTGGAGTTTTGTGGTGGCTGCTTGTATCCCTTGTTTGACCCAGTAAATTTTTTCACTTTCTTAATTTTAACCCGCTATTCTCAAAATAAAATAATATTACAAGCAAATCTAAAATTTTCATTATTTTTCGACCAAATATTTTCCTATTAGTCATTGTTCCAAAATTTATAAATTCTCCAAAATGGGGGCCAAACAATGACATGAATGAAGTTAGTTTTTAAACATAATTTTGAAAGGATCTTCGTCTGCTCAAAAAATACCAAATTGCTGCTCTGCCTTCCGTTGCTCCGCGTCGTAATCGTACGGATAGGGTTTCAAAATCCTTCTAAATTTAGCCCTTATTTGACCACTACTATTTCAAAACTTTTTATTATGCATACTTATTTTCAATCACATTTATATAATAAAATTTTTACACATAAATTCAAAATTTTCTTCCATTTTCTAATAGCACATTCTCAAAAATTTCCCTATTCTAAACTTTATTTTTACCCAACGATGGCCATAAAAAGGGGCATATTATACGAAATAAAAACATATTTATCTGTCTATATGTATTCATTTTCTTCGCTGTAAAAATTTCTCTTCTTGATGGTTTGAACAGTAGAATAAATCTCTCCGATCTCTCTCTTTACAACGGCGTAGCCTATTTCTCCCTCTAGGGTTTTGCGGAGTCGAAGTTTTACACATGGATTATATTATTCTGACTCAATTTTAGGGTTTCAGTTGTCCATACCGTAATGGAGAGGGCTTTTATTTGATTTTTGTTTTTGACGTGGGTTTTATTGTGGTGGTTTGAAGGTCTCCAGCAAGAATTATTCGCGGATTATCTCAAGTTTCAACCTTTTTGGTCCTTGAGGTTTGTACTTCTTTCCTTTTTTTAAATTGTTGATCATGTCCTCCCCATAATTGCTGGAACAAGGTTTTTCAACTACACATGCCTGTATGCAAGAAAAAAAGATGAACTTTGGGCAAAGAGGACCTGCTGGACTTAGTTGCAGTATCCTCGATTTTGTTATCCACTGAAATTAAAAAGATTTATGTTGTGGGACATTGTCAGCATTTTAGCGCTGAAATGGAAATGAATAATGCCGAGTTAGATATGGGGGATTCCTGCTGGGAACAGAGAAATTTTTTGACTACATTGATTGACATCTGCAGTTTGAACATATCTGTTATCTTCAATTCTTACCGTATTCTGAAAGGGTTCTAGTGATGTCAGTTGGAAAAAGAGACCACATGTACTGCTTTCGTTGATTCGACGAATTTTAAACTTCACTTCATTAGTTCATGTTTTGCAATTAGTTGAGGTTATTCGTAATTGTCTTTTTGCATAGCTGCATATTCCTTTTAAATTCAGATGACATCTATATGATTATGAAGGCAAGTTTCCTGCATATTTATGACCTACGACCTTTAGCTAAGTTACAGAATTTAACTTTGAACTATTATATTTGCTTCAAGGACAAGAGGACAGGTTTTGAGATCGTTTGTTCTAATATACCAATTGAATACCAATTTCAGTTAGCATACACTAGCATTGTAAACATGGTATACCATATGAATTAGCAAGGACCCAATTGGTAAGTTTCAGGAGTGGGATTAGGAATATTACATGACAATTCTTTAATGTTAAATGCTATGTAGTTAGGTTTGGGACCCCTCTCCCTCTGGATGAATGCTGCCATTTTCATTTTTTGTTTATCTCGAATTTCTGAGATTTGAATATTTCTTTGATGTTCTTAATTAGGTTTCTCAGTTTTAACATTATTATGGTTGCCTATTCTACTTGACATCCAATGTTAAAGATGCCCCTTTTTGAATCTTTTGACTAGAGACAATATTGCAAATCTTAATTTATTGCAGTTCTGTTTTCTTTCTTTATATTGACTTAGGTAACATATTTCATTATTGTCAGTTAAAGCATAACCAAAGAGGTATACGAAACTTTTTTCCTGCTAGCGTAAAACTTAGCCCTCCCCTACCCCAGAAACATAATCACACCGGAAAAATGAAGATTCATCTTTTTGGGGTGTGCGTGCTAGAGGAGGAGTTGGAAAGAAGGAATTGTCATGGAATGTTCAACTGGATGAGACTATGAGTTAATTTTGGTATCTGAATAAAATGGAGTATATATTTCTGTACGATGACATTCAGTTCTAATTTTTATTTTTATATTTTTTATGCTGCTTCAGTCTTCTTTAAACCGTTTATATTTGTTTCACTATGACAATATCTTCACATGCACTCCCAATTTTAGAACTTCAGTTTCTATTATATTTGTTATGTATGTTCCTTACAAGACGTATTGGAGTAAGATTTTATGATAGTGTTTTACCAACTATGACAGTTAGATTGCATGACATTCCATCTACTCCCTATCCTACTTTATACTCTCTCCTTTGTGTCTCTGTGATGGCATGACATTTCTTGGTGAATTGACTATATGTCACTGAGAAGCTCATATTTGAAACACTTTTACTTTCATTTATGTTTGACTACTGTGATGAGGTTCATATCGGTGTCATTGAAAGTAAAATGAATAAAATTGTTCTATAGCATCCAAGCAAATGATTCTTGGTGTTGATTGAATGATTGCCAGCATGGACTTGAATGCCTTCCCAGAACCAGAAGAGGATGAAGTGTTTTATCAACCAAATTTCGAAGAAGATCATGCACCAGAAGACCAGATAGAGTACAATGAACATTCAGAACACGGGGAGTCTGCTGTTGAGATTTCACGCCGGGTACTTCACTCTCTTGTCTTAAATATGTTCCTTTTCAAGATTTACCGAAGACGCGCCATTTGATCCTTTCCACATGATATTCCAGATTGGTGCTTCTTTATAGCTAATGAGTGTATCTTTGCATAAGAATGTTAGTTAACTGATGAATAAATCCAAGCTTTAGAAGGTAGAATGGTAGGTACTAGAAAACTTCTAGGAGATAATTCAATTGGTGAATGATGCATTACAACTTATGATCTGCTATTGTGGCTTGGGGAAATGATGTTAAAGGTTACGAATTCACATCTCTATTTCTTGGAAGTGGATGATTAATGTTCTGTGAACCACCATTCCAGGCTTGCGAAGTGTTACTTCACTTGGCTGATGACCGGATAGGCTCTGTTAACCACTCCTGCTCTGCTTCTTTTCTTTTCTGTCTCTGTTTGCAGCGCTGGCTTGTCGAAATTAATACTCTCAGCCGGGAATTTTAAGTTGATTTTCCATTATGTTTTGAAAAATGTGATGCTTTAGTAATGGATTATTGGTAAAATGTGATTATGCTCATCCTCTGCAATTACATCCCCATGAAAAGAATGGAAACAAAAATAGGTGACACCATGATATTTGCAGCCCATGTTTTTAAGTTGAGATGTCACCATTCGACCTGCTAATGGTGATATTTGAGGCATGATTTTGAATTAGGAACGTGAAGAGAGGATTCAGCGGCTAAAAAGACAACGTCCCAATGAGCGGCTATCATACCTATCTCAGCCACCACCGCATGATGATGGGTATCAAATGAAAAAACAGAGACCTCATAATAAACTCCCTCCAGGTAAGTTCAGGTCAATTATGTTGGGAAGGATCAGTTTATCTTTTGATGACATCCATGCTAGAGTGCTTAGTGATTTAAGGAATTTCTAACCCACCTTCATTTTCTTTTTCTCTCTGGAGAAATCTTATAGAATTTGTCTATCGAAGTTAAATTTGACAATGTTTTCTTAGATCTTACAATGTCATTAATCTGATATGAAACTTGGGGGGGATGAATGCATGAATTTAAGTATTAGTTTTTGTGGTTGGTTAATTAGTTGTTTGTTGTCTGGGTGTGTCATTGTATTATCGGAGAAAGCAATATTGTCTTGGATAACCAGGCACTAGAAGTTCCCTCTTCCTAATCGACAGCCGGGTTGGCATTTTGATAATTATTACCATACCACCTTTATTTCCCTTTTGGATTGTTGTTTATTGTATTCTTTTTGAAATTCTGGTTTCCTTGTGTTGCAGGTTGGTTGGAATGCCCTGCATTTGGTCAGGAAATAGGCTGTTTAGTACCTTCAAAAGTTCCTTTAGGTGAATCATTCAATGATTGTATTCTTCCTGGTAAAAGATACTCTTCCAGGCAGGTGATTCATCAACAGAGAGTTTTAGGAAGGAAGGTGAGTATGTGGAATTATGCACTGCAACATCTGCACATTTTTATTTATGTCATTATTTCTGGGCACAGGGCTGGTAATTAGCACATCCTTTTCAAATTTTAGGGAAGAATATCTGAATTTGCACTTTGAACACCTGCTGATATTCATCTTCTTTGAAATGTTGTAAATTCATATCACCAGCTTTAAAGGGTCAAAGACAGCACAGTAATGCATCTGAGACTCGGTTCTTGCTAATGCCATAACAAAGCCTGATGAAATGTAAATCTTGGCACTCAGGAGTTTGTGGAAGGGATCTGAGACCAGAAGTCATGTAAACAAATTAATTAGACATTCCATTACCTATATAGGTGAATAGATGAAGAGAGGTGGCTATAAAATGGCCCTAAGTCACTTCATGAATCAACTTGAGATTGAGCAACTACTAGTTAGACAAGCTTTATATAGGTTCAGTGTTGAAGCAACTGAGAAGCCAGATTTAGGCTTCCTTATCTTTTCAACCTTGTATGCAAGATCAAAATATATCGTGAGGGAAAAAAGCTGATATTGTATTTGAATTCCTCCTGACAGAGATTCTATCAACTAGTGTACGTATGTGTTGCCATCATTGAAACCTGAAGATGAACCAGTGAACCAGACATGTAATTTTATAAGAAATAACTTAATTGAGTGGAACTATAGACTTGCTTGAAATAAGTTAGAGCAGTTGAAACTTGAAAGCTCCAGGATCATGATAATAGGTAATCTTTAGATAGTAACATTATCCTTTGTATACAGTGATATAGAACCTCTGGTCTGGTGAATGAATCCTTGCCCCTATTTGGCGCGGATTAAAATCAATTTTTTAGTAGATTTTGATGAAAGTTGAAGAAATGTATGGTTGAAAAGTTGTGGGTCCCATAAACCATGTGTTTAAAATTAATTGTTGACTTTGATTAAAATCTAATTCCTACCAAACAAGGGCTTAATGTCTGCTGATCAATTTATTTGACGGACACTTTGATAGAACCTCTCAGAACACTGATTTAAATTTATATACTTAAATGTTATCAGCTTGGTTTGGTGATCGATCTTACAAATTCAAATAGATATTATTCAACTAATGATTGGAAGAGAGAAGGTATCAAGCATGTTAAGGTAGGTAATCAATATTTCTACATCCTTGACTCAAGAATTACATTTTCATAAATTTGCAACTTTAGATTTTTGAGTTCCTGATTAGTTGCCTTCTGATTTAGATTCCTTGCAAAGGGCGTGATTCTGTGCCTGAGAATGAGGCCGTAAACGCGTTTGTTTTTGAGGTATGTTGCTCTATAGACACATTCACCACACTTCGTGCTTGTAAGCACACATGAAGTTTGCTATCTTTTTGCCTCTCGCTAAATCTGCACACTCTTTTTTAACACTGAAGCATGGTAAATAAATTAATGTTAGCTTCCATGTCTTTTGTCTTACTCTCTCCAAATGAAAGGAAGAGACATTTGTATCTGCCCTTCGAGAAATTGGCTGCAATATTACCACATATTCATTCTCCGATGACATACATAACATACTTATGCTAGTTTCTGACAGGCGAGTTTAAGAAGAATTCAGTTAGAAATTCTATTTATAAGGTCTTTAGGTGTCTTTTTATCATTTTACGTTTCTGTATGATTAGTTTTTTGTGCTGAATAGTCTCCTAATCCTAGGATTGGGATTTGTTAGTAGTTTCCTCACTTTTTTGATGTATACTCTTCTATTCTGATGAATTTGAGTCATATTCGCATCTATGGATAAGTCTCAGTACAAGCTTTTTGTTGCAATAGAATTGTGTTTTTTTCCAAGTTTGGTGTTCAGTTAGACTGAGCGTATACTCANTTTGGTGTTTCAGTTAGACTGAGCGTATACTCACTGGAGTACGTGTGGATAAGGTGTTTAATGAGTAACAGTCCTTTACCCTTTTTTATCATGTTTACTGGATTCATTGTTCGCACAATATTTTGCAGCCTTGGACTACTAGAAGCTGAGATAGAGTAGTTCAAATCCATTGTTTAAAAAACTCAATATTTGTATTCTTCTTTGATCATATAAATCCACCATCTTTCAGTAGCTGTACATCCGTCAAAAGATTGAGGCCATTTTGTGTCGCTTTAGTTATAGGGATAAAGACCACTAGTCCTTGAGTTGTTATTTCGAGTTTCAGAATGCTTCTCAAGTATCTTTCCCTATTTATTTAGGCTTCTGATTTTCCACTTTGAAACAATGACAATTTTCTACCCTGCCCACCCCTGGGGTTTTAACTTCAGTGCTGCATTAATCTTTTAGTAATTTGATGTATTAGTGTTGGACCCATGCCTGTTTCCTTGAAGGGAATATGGGTTATATATATTCTTATGTCAATTACGTGCTCTCTTTTAATTGTTCTTTACATACTGCATTAATTAAATGGCTGGAATACTTGGAGGAACATCTCATACTTCTAAATTTCTAATATCCCACGGAAATGTTAAGTAATGTATATATGCTTTTATCAGGTCTCACAGTTTCTTGCTCGACAAAAGCACTCAAAGAAATATATTCTTGTCCATTGCACGCATGGGCACAATCGCACTGGGTATATGATTATCCATTTTCTCATGCGAACTCTACCTATTTCTGTCACTCAGGTCAGCTGTCCTATTATTTCTTCTTCCATTTTCATGAAACAATAAATATGTTATGATATTATCCTGCTTGCTCTCTCTCCATGCAGGCAATCAAAATATTTGCCGATGCTCGTCCTCCGGGGATATACAAGCCTGACTATATTGATGCCTTGTACAGCTTTTATCATGAGAAGAAGCCTGAAATGGTTGTTTGCCCTCCAACTCCCGAGTGGAAAAGATCTTCTGAACTTGATCTGAATGGTGATGCAATGCCAGATGACGACGACGATGACGGAGGTTCCACAGCTCCTCTGCAGGTATATTCTCCTTTTACAATGATTCTTGATGATTTTTGCTGCACAACTATGTAGGGAAGTTTCGAAAAAGTAACCACAACTGTTAAAAGCTAAAGTTGCTGCCTCGAGATTTTTATCATTATTCATTCTTAAATTTTTTCACTGAGTATTCTCGCAAATCTCCCGTCGTTTACTTCTGACTTCTGTTGTTTTAGGAGAATCATGAGACACAGCTAGTAATGACAAATGATGACATTTTGGGAGATGATATCCCCAAAGATCAACAAGAAACCCTGCAGCTGTTCTGCTATCAGTCGCTGAAGTTGTCTGGATGGGTAGGAACTCCGATGGCTTTTCTTCTTTCTGTGTGCTGATCTGTTTCAATTAAATATATCTGATATAGGATTTCTTTGCAGTTGTTTGTTATATTGTCTGATCATCACTTCGTAGGCTGGAGTTATTTTATTTTCATATTTGTGGTTATAGCTCTAATTTTGAAATATTATTTACAAGTACATATCTATTGATCCTTCTTTGTTGATTCCTTGTTTAATTTTCAGGGAAGAGGAATCCAACAATTCCCTGGGTCGCATCCAGTTTCTCTCAACAGGTATTGATCATCCTCTTTCTCTTCTTGTGGAAATGTGTGGCTTTGTTCTGCTATAAATTTGAGTTTGTCCTGCTATTATCAATTCATATTGATGTCTATCAATATGGCATAGTTGAGGCAGCATATTTTTGCCCTTCCCTGTCACCCTGCTCTAGGCCTTCAAAATTATATTGGAAAGTTTACTTTTTCATTGGCACTTAATTTGCAGTTAAATAGGAAACTTTAAAACTTCACTGGCATTATATTTGTGAAGTTCCATACCTTTTTTTACCAACTGGCACTTTTTTTTATATATGGCCATTATAATCAATTAACATCATTTTTGTGAATATATATATATTTTTTTCACACATTGGAGGGGGAATAAGTTATAAGCATAAGGAGAAGAGGAAAACAGAAACATATGGTTTAAGTAGACTTCTGAACTTAAGATATTGGATTCTACCAGTGATTTATGAAGGTGGCTAAGCAGAGCCCCATGAAGCTCGTGGAAGGAGAGAGTTCAAGGAAGCTGCCTAGTTAACAAATATTCATACATGGACTCGTACTTCTGATGTCATTTTGTTAAACTGTGCATCTTTAGAAATCTGTGGCATTAATTTTTTGCCAGAGGCTGGTTGATATTTCTTGTTTTGCGGTGCAATAACTTTCTGCCAGACGAGACTAGCATTCTTTTCCTACTTTGCTGTCTTTTATCTCCTCTCTTCCCCATAGGGGATGATGAAGTTTGTTTTAAGGAATGTTTAATCGAGAATGCAGTTCACTGCCTTGGTTATATCTTTTCTTGTGGGGAATTTGTGCATAATGCATATTCAAAAATGAAATAATGACCTAAAATTTTGTTCTAATACTAGCAGTAGGTGTTTGTGCGTCCTGGTTTCTATGGCTGGGCATAAAACCCATATAACCTTCTTGATGCGAACCCATGCAGCAATAGTAGCTCTGAACCCAACAAAAGATTGAATCACAATCCCAAAAAAGCTATAATCTCGGTTTGAAGCTTCACCTAATAATTTATGGAATCAAGGAACCAAAGTTATAAAGGAAATTGACCCCTTAATCACAAAAATTATGAACCTTGCTATGAATTTGTTGGACGCCACAAAGAATTAATCTTTGATGAGTTCGAAATTCATTTCAATGAAGAACAAGAGAAAGCAACCTCTGTTTGTAGTCAATCTTAATAATAAAATGTTGTTTGTAATGAAAATAATGAATCTTACTTATAGGGAACCCATTAAAACCTAATTGAAACGGAATTATATTAAAAATATACCATAACAAGAGTTCTACCAAAAATAGAGTTCTAGGAAAAAATCTGAAAAAAACTCATCGAGAAAATGAACTATGCAGCCTCATAGCACACTTTGGTGCAACCGCATAGTAGGCCTCTTTTCTTCTTGGGTTGGTTTTGAGTGTTGAATGCTAGTGCATGGTTCGCCGGAATCTCCTCTTCTTCCTTTGCTAGAATCAAATGCATCCATCTTGGTTTTTTCCATATCCAACGTGAAACTTGATGTTTTACTCATATTCAAACTCTCAGCCCATGTAATTTGAACAATTAATCTAATGGCTTCCTTGATCTTCTTTACTCGCGATCTTGTCATTGGTCCTTCTTTTCCAATGAAAAGATCATTGCTAGTCTTCGTCCCATGATTCTCATTACTTCCAACCCGACAAACCTTCCCAAATTGGATCGATTTCTTTGGCATTTGGGTTGGTTTTCGGTTAGGATTTACCGAACCCGAAAATTCGGTTTAAGGCCGGTTTGTAAAAAGAAAAAAAAAAGATTTTCAAGGGTAAAATACCCTTGAAACCGAAAATCCGAACAGACTCGTGTCGGTTTAGGTTGGTTTTTTTAACCATTTGGTTCAATTTTGGCGTTGGGATTTTATCCAACCCAAATTTTGGGTTCGGTGGTCAGGTTGTGCCCGAACCCGACCTGTACCCATCCCTACTGGTTTCTAAGACACGAGGATACACTCTGTGGCTTTGACTTATTGAGTCTTTAGTATTTTTCTCTCTTTTTTCTGTTTCAAATCATTTCGATAACAGTTTTCTCTGCTTTGCTCTGTTTTGTTGTTTCCCCCTTTTTTTGGGTTATTTTACTGTTTGAAATTTTAAAATTTACAGGAATCGTGTTGTACTTTTGGCTCACAGGACTTACTAAGAAAGTATCAGTTACTTGGATGATTGTTCATAATTTAGGTTTATTAATTTATGCCAATATCTGAACCGAAGTTAATGGGACGTGGCTTGGAGTCTATGAATAAGCCACTGCAGAAATAGTAACAATTTACTTCATATCTATGTTATTGCTTTGGAAATTTAGAGAAAATAGTTCCAGTGGTCTGTTGTCATGCCTTTTTCAGTGGGGAAGCTGTTAGTATATGAAAATTAGGTTTTGCTTTTGGATTGGATGGTGTGGTTTTCAAGAGATGCGTTATGATGGCATCATGTGAGCTGGTGCATCGAGCTTAAGACAAGCATGTTCTTTCCCAGATATGTTTGTGCTACACCCCTTGATATGGAACCACAAGATTTGGTATGATTTCTACCCCCATTATTGAGTGCGCAATGACGGGAGAATTCAGTTGACACCTGTAGCCCATACAACCTTTCTAGAAAACAAGCAAAGAATGATTAAGATCTTGTTTTGAGATATATGCATCAGACACATGTAAAACTGATGTTTGAGCTAAGATGGGCATCATAGCCTCCTTTATTAAAAAACTCAAATAGTTTAAACAACAATATTCTACCAATGACAAGGAGTTTTATGAAATGGTGCAATTTCTTTGTGATTGGTAGCAGTATGGGAAAGTGTTTTGACTGTTTGTCATAAAATCTGACTGCGAAGCCTTTGGACACCTCGGCTCTAACTTCCAAATGGAAGCTAACTTTTAACTTAAAGGCATGTTAAGTGCGTAGCGTTTCTCCTAATGCACATTTTTTCTTAATAAGATGGTAGATTTTGAGTGATTAAGGATGAGTATCCTAATTGTTTATTGTTTGGTGTCATCTCTAGCAACCTCTTTTGATTGTTCAAATAGGGATCATGTAAACTTCTTACTGGGGATGTTCCCAAAGAGATTCGATTGCGCATTTTTCACACCATTTGTTTTTAGAATGGGAATTACATGTTGGAAGTTTAGTTAGAAGGATAAGACCATACCCATAGTGAAGATAGGTTTTATTGGTCTTCATTGGAAAGGTTTGTTGGTGTCAAACCTTTGAGTTAGATAAAGCTAACAATAAACGCAACATTGTTTTTCACACATCGCTCGTGTTCCACATGCCCATTTGTGTGATCTTAGCATGAACGGTCTTTGGGTCACCTAACTGCTAGAACTTGTGATTCCGTTTCAGAATTTGTGGATGGATTTTCCATCAAGAATGAAGTTATCATTTTGTAATTGTGAGATCATAAATTAGTTACTGCATCCAATATCTTTATGAAAAAAAAAAATCCTTAAAAGTGTTGGACTTACGATTTGGAATGGAATACGATCACTGTGAGTGAACTAGACATTGAGGAGTTGTCCATACGTAAAATTATAATTATTGGTATGGGACATAGCCCACTGCATTCCATGATCCAAAACTACTTGAGCTTTCCAGGTTGCTAAATTATTCTTCAATGTAATTGTCATGCAACAGTTTTCTTGCTACCCGTGTGTCTAAATGAGATGTTAAGTTTTGGTTGCTTTTGGATAACACTTTGAATAATTTCTCTTATTGACATTCTCTAAGCAAGTCAACCAGAATTTGTTGACATTAGTCTTTAAAGACTGACTTATGTGCCCTTCTTAATCCTTTTTTTTTTGGAAAAATATTTGCAGCGTAGATGGGAAAGTTGTGAAGATTGTATTCCTAACTACAGGGATTGCAATGCAAATATGCAGCTCATCTTAGGACATAATTTAAATTGCTGTAAAACAATTATTTTATTTTTGTTATAATTATTAGTTTTTAAATTAGAAAATGTTCGAATTGTTATTTATTGCAAGTATCTCATTCTCAATAGGATTTTTACATACAAGTAGGACTATTGATATTGAACATTTAAGACATTAATTGTGATATTCAAAATTATTGAGCTTTCTGTCTACTAGTCTTTCTCTATCTAGGTTCTTTTCCCAATTGTTTCTATTTCCCTTTTTTTTTAATTTGTTTTCCTCTACCTATCTACATCAATGTGGGTGGTGCTTGACACGGAAGAGAATTACTTGTCATCATTAACTTTGGCCTCGCGTAACTAATTCATGACTAGTGTGAAACAATTTTGTCAGTTAAGTGGAGCATAATGGTCTGTGTTTATGTGGTCTGAATGACTAAGATTTAAATATTCAAGTCAACAAGCCTTCTTTAAGAGATTTAAACCCACACCAGCATCCAGCCAAGTACTCACCTGGTTCTCATTCACTACTGGAAAATGGTAAGTAAATAAAATCAGGGCTTATCTGAAAACCTATAGCTTTTGAAAATTCCATCCTGACATTCGTTACACCTTATTTGAGCATCATGATCTCTGCATTTGATTAAGAAGAACTGGAATAAAAAGGCAATAGTTTTCTTAACAATTCTTTTTACCAGATATTTTCTTGATTTCTTAGCTTGCTTTGTCTGAGCATGCCTATAAAAATGAGTGGACCAGTTTTATTATACTTTAACAGCCACGATGATATTACTGATTGCTCTATCTTTTGCATCTCAATGGGTATAGTTCTGGTTTATTGAATTTACTTAGAAGTCGGTACCTTGAAGGTTACCAGCTTATGCTTGGGTTTTCTCATTCTTGTAGTCCTGACATTGCAATTCATTTTTCCTTTTCATCCAGGGACAACTTACAATTGTTAAGACAACGTTATTACTACGCCACCTGGAAAGCTGATGGAACACGGTATATGATGTTAATAACTATGGATGGGTGTTACCTAATTGATCGACATTTCCATTTCCGAAGGGTCCAGATGAGATTTCCTTGCAGACAGGCTAATGAAGTATGCGTGCTTACTCAACCCATCTGGTTATTTCAGTTTTTGGCCTCACAATTGAATTTCTCCTTTTGCTGATTTTGATCTTACACCGTTTCTCTACAAGGGATTAGATGAGAAGGTTCATCATTTCACATTACTTGATGGAGAAATGATAATTGATACAGTGCCTGACTCGCAGAAGCAAGAAAGGAGATATCTCATCTATGATATGATGGCGATTAATTCGGTTTCCATAGTAGAGGTAAGATTTGAAGAGGTCCTCTAGTTTCTGAAGCTCAACTTCATACTTTGTTTGCATTTTTAAGCTTCAATTATTATCAATCTTGTGTTTGTGTGATAGCAACTGACATGCTGTTTTCTGCAACAGCCATTTTTACTAATGGATGTTGGCATTTTTAACTTTGAAGGGCTATCGACCTTGTGTTTGTGGTCCATTATTGGTTGCATATGTTTCGTGGTAGAAATCAGATCTTGTTGATCGTCAGTTTCATGGTTCGATAAAGTTTGAATGTCTAATTATGAGTCGGAAGTTTATTATTCTTAAACTTTGGGAAAGGTTAACTATAACAATTGGTACTTCCCTGGGAATCAAGATGACACGTAAATGTGCTTTAGTATGAGAACATGGAATATAATAGATAGTTGAGGTATATACTTATATACAGTGTGATGTTGAGTCTATGGAACTTTGATCGATAAGAGGTTCCGAAAAATGATCTGAAAGGACATATTCACTTATTTTCCATCAAATTACAAGTATCATGATTTAATCTGTAGAAATATCTTACAACAGCATGCCAGAGGCTAACTTTATGTATTGAAGTTCTTTTATTCATTGCATCCAGGTATTTATTGATGGAGAGAGGACTGACTGCTCATTGAATCTAGATCTTATAACTGTAAACAGTCTTAATTCCTGATACAGACTACTATGGATTATATGCTCATGTTGCATTTTCCCTCGTACCAGAATCATGAAATTATTTAGGTTACTATGATTTTTTCCCCCACAGTTGCACTTCTATACAGTGTTGGTGTTGTTGTGATTGAAGATTCTACTTTTATTGCAATTCGAGTGGTTCTACCTGAATAAATTCTTTTTTATTTAGTTTACTTGTTTTAATGCAGCGGCCCTTTTATGAACGTTGGAAAATGCTTGAGAAGGAAGTAATTGAACCTCGGAATATAGAACGACAAAATATATACCAGAGCAAAAACCCCTATTACAGATATGATATGGAACCATTCAGGGTATGTTGTCTTTGGGCTATGCAATTTTCATCGAGTCCTTTTTCTTGTCCCCACTCCCATCTCCATCTGCTGGACCTTTTTCTAATGTGGAACCTTCACAGGTGAGAAGGAAAGACTTTTGGCTGCTATCTACAGTCACAAAACTTTTGAAGGGATTTATTCCAAAGCTTTCACATGCTGCTGATGGTCTTATTTTTCAGGTACTTATAATGACAATATAGAATTACTGGCACATTTAGCTTCTCATTTTTCGGTTGTGATTTTTTACAGTACCTATGCTCTATGCATGTAATTCATGCTCTTTCTTAAACATGCTATTCACCCTCAAGTGCGGGAATGTGCTCAAGTATTTAATGTTATTATTTTTCCTTGTTAATTTTTATGGTAATAGTTGCTTATATTTTTGTGTGCCAGGGTTGGGATGATCCCTATGTTCCTCGAACGCATGAGGGTCTCTTGAAGTGGAAATACCCAGAAATGAATTCAGTTGATTTTCTCTTTGAGGTGCTTGTTAATGCAAATATTCTCTTCCTCTTCTCTTTAACCCGAAAATGATTTTGCTTGTATTTTTCTACTTTTTTATTGTAGATTAGTACAAGTTAATCCTTGTTCATAATAGCTACTCTGTTTTGATCCAACGCTGCATCTATCGAACGGTCTGATACAACTGAATGTTCTGCAACCATCTGAGACAGTTAATTTTGGTGTCTCTCCCTCTTCTAGCTCGTTGTACTGGGAAGCATTACTTTGTGAATGGAACATTGTTTAGGTCTATCCATTCTCTTAATTTATCCTCACATGGAGCCATCTGTGATTTGTACTAGTCATCTATTTAATGACTAGAAAGGAAGTTTTGTTTATTCCTTATTAGATCTACTTGGACTTAAAATTATTTTTTCTACTCTCCAAGTATCATCAACCAGATCTCTGTCTTCTACTAATAACATCCTCCAAAGGCCCCTATCTCGACCACATTTGGTTAACTCTTATATGACTAAACCAAAAAGATAAAGTATTGCAGAATTTGGCATCAAGTCTCTAATACTACCCTAGCAGATCTTACAAGTGTACACCTCCTAATAATATTGGTACAGTTATATACTTTTTCTAAATGACTAGAAACTATTATAGCTTATTGTGAATGAACTTTTGAGTCATGTTCTTGCTGTCTCTGGGGATAAACTTTCTGTCTATTTGTATTAGCAGATGGTTGACAGTCGCCAGTCAATTTATCTTAATGAACGAGGGAAGAAAAAACTCATGGAAGGAAGTCGGGTTGTTTTCCCGGGTTAGTATTTTCATTATTTTAGTGCTTTTATTGTTGCTCCGCTTGTTAGAAGTTGGGAAAGTCCCGTGTCTGTCAACTGACTCTGCATTTTTTGATCTAAGCAAAAATCTTTAATCTGCATTGGTTTATCAATGTAGACGTATAGATCTCTCAGAATATAAACTTGGACAATCTGTCCTAATCCCTGCAGCAAATATGCCATAATGGTTAGATATAAAAGTGATCAAATTTCAGAATTGCCTATTTCTTTTGCAGAGCCTCTGGTCCAGGTCCTATTATCTTCTTCGAACTATACATGTTTTTTCACATATCCTTAGTTATAGAATGGCTCAAACTCTGTAAACTTAAACTAGCAGTGAGGTGCACTTAGCTGATGAATACTGAAATTTGGTACTTTCTATTTGTTGCTCAGATTTTAACTTTGGTATGGGATGCTCAAATGGAAGTTTTACTTCACGTGATCATTAAGAGATCAGTTCTAACAATACTCCTTATTCTAAATCATAACAACTACTTAATTGGTATATTGATTTGATAGAGCTAGGTGAATTGTTTTTCTTAATCATCCAACTGAAATATGCTGTTAATGAAGAGACTGCTCTTTGTTGATATCTTGGTCACTTAAATGTATAACTGAAAAATATTAGTAGTAGCTGATGTAAAAGAGTTTAACAATTAAATAATGGGAGGACAGTGCTAGATTGGTCTATTGGCATAAATGGTTGTTTCCTAGTCTAGTTGACTAGGTTTGACTCAAAAGCCAGTTTTAACCTACTGCATCATCCAGGCACATTTGCATATCTGGTTGGTCAAAATGTGAATTAATTCACATCTTTGGCTCAACAAATTTGAAATTGAGTTGAAAAATTCACGAATTCCTCCGACTTGTGGATGCATCAAATTGTGCATACATGTGCCCCTAGTAGGCATATGATACGGATTAGGGCACCTAGGATTATATACTGGTGGGTCTCGTGATGTTCTATTGATACATAATCTCTCTGATTTCTGTATCAATCTTCAGTTGAGATATTGAGATTCAGAAGCTTTGGCTTTCATTCTTGCAAATGCTTCTTTATCCTGGGCATTAGGAGAGAGGTGAAACCCGGGTTAATTTGGAAATAGTTTTATTTTGCACCCGGACCTTCAGTGCACATCAATTATATATCCGGTGGTAGTATGTGGGAGTTTCCTGCAATAGTAGTTTCAGTTTTATTTTTGGCTACTCTCTGAAGTAACCCTATATCAAATTATTCGTGAACTGGAAATCAGATGTGGCTCAGAAGGCATTTGCGAGGTTACTATAAATGCATGTCTATCACTCTGTTAAAACATGAAGCTTAACTTCCTCAGTTATCAAACTAAGGATTCCATTAGGCCTGTAGATTGGTCTTAAGGCACGCTAGAATGGCTGTCTGTACTTGATATTGTATTTCTTTCATTTGTTTCTTTGCTTTGTTATATGATTGATTTATTGTTCCCTTGGACCTCCATTTTGATTTTGCAGATGGGTCCGATCCCACATCATATTCGGGGAAGATAATAGAGTGTTCTTGGAATTCTGAAGAAGACGTATGGATATGTATGCGGATCAGACCAGATAAAGGGACCCCAAATGAGTTTAACACCTACAAGAAGGTACGTCCCATCTTCTATTGGTGTTTGTGGACTATTGCAATCGTTACTACCTGCTCTTGTACTAAATTGTTGTGTTGTACAATCCACAAAACAGGTTTTGAGAAGTATAAGGGACAATATCACCGAGGAAGTCCTTTTGGACGAAATAAATGAGATCATTCGCCTGCCAATGTATGCAGATAGGATAAAGAATGAGAGCAAAGCCCATCAACACTTAAACTCATCACGTCGTAGGTGAATGATTGACCTCATAAGTCGAAGACATCTCGCCAAAAGAATCCACAACGTGGCCTTCATGAGTACATAAGAGGATTGTTTAGATAATTGCAAGTTGGTTCGTCGAACGATTCTGTTTGCTCACTAAGCGATCTTTTGTAATGTGTTCATTTCCAGAGTATTCAAGAATGATAGGAATTAGAATTAGAGTCACCATGTATATTAAGTATTATTTAGTCTCCCCCGCCCCCTCGCCCCCCTCTTTTTTAGTTGTTTGTTATCTAATAGATAGCTTTCAATAGGACAGAATTGAGTTCTATAGCATTTTATGCTGTGAATATAGATGATTTGTATCCTTTATTTAGCGTCGCATTCTCTCGTTGGTGCCATGATGTTGTATGTGTTAGGGAATTATTGAGAGCAATTACCCAAGGTCCAAACCCACTCCACCAGGCCATGATGTTTCATCCCAAAACCAATTGACAATGGGTGGATTTTATTTTCTTCCCACAATCGATGTGGGACTTGTTTGCCCCAACAATCCCTCCCTCAAACAAGGCTCACGAGGCAAATCACCACTCATCGAGATAATCCATCGTAGTCTGCACCCACTACGTTACCATGGATCTACAATCTCATGAGAATTTTTCATCACCTCGATTTATCTAGCCACACAATCTGGACTCTGATACCATTGTTAGGGAATTATTGAGAGCAATTACCCAATGTTCAAACTTACTCCACCAGGCCCAAGTGAGGTTCCATCCCAAAGCCAATTGGCAATGGGTGGAGTAGCCCACTTGGATTATATGATGGATTTATTTTTCTTCCCACAATCGATGTGGGACTTGTTTGCCCCAACAGTATGAACATAAATTGCGTGAAGTTGGGAGAATGGCCACTTTTCTGCGATAGCTCGTAATGTTCATTTGAGTGCTGATGGCTTCTTTTATATCTATCTGAAAAGAAAATTCCTTTACCAATCTAATGTTAACCAAAATATACATTCATTGACAAACAAAACCAAAAAAAGAAAAAAAATCGTTGTAATATGAACCTCTAGTCATTTTGATGCGAATAAGAATCTTCAAATTTGACGTTTTTCCGGATGTGCATTCGTTGTGAACGCACAAAATGGCCAAAAGTGGGTAAAAGTCCAACAAATTGTACGCAAAAATGCCTTTCCAATTTCTTCTAGCAAAATTTTGGCAGCTTTGCTGTTGAGGATTACCTTGCATCTTTCTGACTATTTGGAAATAAACGGAAAATTGTCGCCATTCTTTCCCCAAGGATCACAACCGATGGCTAGATGGAGTTCATCGATGAGACGAATCACGCACCAAAACCGACAGAAGTTGGGTGTTTTTAGCTGCTGAAAAGAATATAATGGGATGGTTGGTCATAGTGGTGGCAAATGAGCTGAGCGGCTCGTCGGCTCGCCCGCTCGGCTCGTACTGTTCACGCCCACGAGCCGCTCGGGCTCGTAAAAAAACGAGCCCGAGCCCGAGCCGAGCGGGCTCATGGACTAGCTCGTCACTGTTCACGAGCGGCTCGCCGAGCCGCTCGTGAGACGAGCCCACCCAAGTAAAAA